CCTTCTGCTGTGGCCTGTAAACTGTCTCCAGGCAGTAATCTGGGGCCATCAAAGGCATGGCTTCATTTGTTTTGCTTCTCTCAAGGATTATCCCGAGCTGCCTGTGATCCAGTGTCTAAAAACAATTCTTTCATGTGTTTTGTTTGCTTTTTCAGTTGTTTAAGATGGGAGAGTAATCTAGTCTCTGCTACTCCATTATGGTCATGGTTTTCATGATGGGGACTTCCCCCCCCTTAGTTTTTATGATTATTTTACATGTTAGATCTGCCCTTTATGTATGATATCTGTTCAAATATTTTCTTCTAGTTTGTCATTTATCCTTTGACTTTGCTTATGGTGTTTTGCTTTTTTGTTCATGCAAAATATTTTTCTCTTTGTGCAATCAAATTTATTTAACATCATTTGTTGCATCTGGATTTCAAATCATTTTTAGAAAGCTTTTCCTATGCTCAGATTATAAAGGGATTTACCTAATTTTTCTACTATTTTTTATTATTTTAAGAAGATGTTGGGGGTAGGAGTTTATTAATTAATTAATATATTTTTGCTGTGTTGGGCCTTCGTTTCTGTGCAAGAGCTTTCTCTAGTTGTGACAAGCGGGGGCCACTCTTCATCGCGGTGTGTGGGCCTCTCACTATCGCGGCCTCTCGTTGCGGAGCACAGGCTCCAGACGCACAGGGTCAGTAGTTGTGGCTCACGGGCCTATTTGCTTCGTGGTATGTAGGATCCTCCCAGACCAGGGCTCGAACCCGTGTCCCCTACATCAGCAGGCAGATTCTCAACCACTGCACCACCAGGGAAGCCCTTTTCTACTATTTTTATGGTTTCTTTTTCCTTTTCTTTCTCATTTCTTTCTTTCTTCCTTCCTTCCTTTCATTCTTTCTTTCTTTCTTTCTTTCTTTCTTTCACATTTGATAGGTCTTTAACCATTTGGACTTTATTCTGGTGTATGGTGAGAAGTGTGCATCTAATTTTATCTTCTTCCAAATGATTTTCCAGGCCACCATTTATTAAGAATCTCATCCTTCTCTAGTGATTTGAGATGCCACCTTTGTTACAGTAACAAAGTAATTACCATGTGTACTTGGGTCTATCTCTGGAATTTCTGTTCTGTTCCACTGGTCTACTTGTCACTCTCACCATGTTCTTTTCATTCTAGAGCTTTCGGTTTCTGAAAGTTTCAGTTTCTGTTAGGGCTATTCTCTCCTTATTGCTCTTACTTTTCAGGGTTTCCTAGCTATTCTTCCATGTTTATTTTTCCATATAAGCTTTAGCATCAAATATCTGAGTGCGAAAAAAAAAAGAAAGAAAACTTTGGGCATTTTTATTGAGTTCACATTACATTTATGTATTAACGTGGAAAGAATTGATATCATTATTATGTTGAATCATCTTATTTATCTTATCCAATAGAAAGACAAGTCTTTCTATTAGTTCAGGTCTATTTTTGTGTTCTTTAGGAGTGTTTAAAAGTTTTCCTTATGTAAGTTTATTCCTAGGTACTTTGTATATATTTTTAATTGCTTTTTTAACTGGCATTTCCCCTCCCATTAAAGCTTAAAAAGGCTTCAACAAAATTTTATATTCATACCTGACCTTCTCATCTCTAAAATAAATAAATCTAATTTTACACACTTTAGTCTTAAAACTGGCCTCTTACTTATAGAAGAATACCAGAGTCATTCCCACAAAGACTTGGAACAAAGCAAGGATGCCCTTTTCTTGTTTTCTATCATATTTTTAAAAAATTATTTATTTTTGGCTGCATTGGGTCTTTCCTGCTGCACTACGCGGGCTTTCTCAAGTTGCAGAGAGCAGGGGCTACTCTTCGTGATGATGCGTGGGCTTCTCATTGTGGTGGCCTCTCCTGCTGTGGAGCATGGGCTCTAGGCACACAGCCTCAGCAGTTGTGGCGCACGGCCCAGTTGCTCCGCGGCATGTGGGATCTTCCCAGACCAGGGCTCGAACCTGTGTCCCCTGCACTGGCAGGTGGATTCATAACTGCTGCACCACCAGGGAAGCCCAAGGTTGCTCTTTTAACTGGCTATTGTTTGACCATATAAAGGCCATTGATTTTTGCTATATTATTGAGTACTTTTATTGTTTGGGTTAGCTTTATTAGTGATTCTCCTGGGCTAGCAGGTATACTATCATGGTATCTGCATGTAGAAATTGTTTTACTTCTTCTTATCTGAGTAGTATGTCTGTTTGTTTTCTTAATAACTCTGTTTTTTTTCTATACATCTTTTTAAACTTTCTGTCTTTACTGGAATCAGTTTAGTAAATTGCTTTTTCCTGGGAAATTATCCAGTTCATTTATTTACAAAGTAATCTCTTATGACTTAAAAATATCCTGTTTTAATGGTTATTTCTCTTTTATAATTTCTTTTCTTTTTTCTTTTTTTTTTTTTACTTTTTGGCTGCGCCACATGGCATGTGGGATCTTAGTTCACTGACTAGGAATCGAACCTGCATCTCCTGCAGTGGAAGTGTGGAATCTTAACCGCTGGACCGCCAGGGAAGTCCCTATAATTTCTTATTTTGTGCAAGCTTATTTACATTTATTGACATGTCTCTAATATTTTATTTCAACTCTGTCCTTTGATGGACACCTATTCCTTGACTGGTGACATTATTTCATTCCTGAAAACCATACCATCGCATTAAAAACATGCCATAAATTTAAGAATATTTCTGTGAATTTAAAGGGGAAGATGACAATGTATTCCGTCTCAACTCAAGATAACCAAACACTTTTCACAGGGAAAAACATACAGCAATTGAATGACGTAACTAATGTAATAAACAAAATGTGAAAGTAAGTAAATTCAGATTGTACGTAAAATGTAACATAATGAAGATTTCTTATATTTTCCAAAGGAGAAAGAGATGATTGGTAGTGGGTGGTGGAAGAGGGTGCAAGGAGTCACTCTTTGGAAGGTTCAGTCTTCCTTCTGCATGATCTTTACCAGTTTTTAACCTTAAGGAGGCTCATGAGTATTTTGCACCTAAGAAGACAGAGCAATTAAAAACACCTTTAGTGCAAAATAAAAGATAAACATCACAGTGTTTTGAAACACATGGAAATAGCCAATGTGCACCACAACCTGCAGAGCCTAGATCTCTTGGCATAGATAGGTCTGCTTAGCAAAATATTTTGGATCATCTAATCTTGGAGCTCAATTCAAATTTCCTCATTAGAAATTTCCTGCCCAGAAATATATTGGGTAAATTGGTGACTAACCTTTTCTGAAACTGTAATGTTGAAATTTCACTTTAACAGTGAATTTAATTCGGGTGCTTGGGGTATAAATATAATTACACCAAGAAAAAAAGAGAGAATCTGAAAGACAGTATAACTCTTCAAAGTCATCAAAGTCAATAGTAATTATACAAATTGAGTCTATGTTTCAATGTTATTGTTCTAATGGATAAGAAAAACTGAAATTACCATGTCTAAGCAGTTTATTTTAGTAGAGACATTGATGATTCATCCATAGACACTGAACGTTTCTTAAGCTGGTTACCACAGCCTTTCAGTTTTTAACTCAGAACCTTGATTTCTGCTTCCCATTGTTGTTGGATAAAATTCAATTTTCTAAATTCAGTCAAAAGATCCTCCGCTTTCTGGTGGTCACAAATATCTCCTGATCTTTCATTTCTTTCCCTTCCACTAGAACCCTGTATTTTAGCTATGTTAAATGTTTTTGCTTTCTAGAATTTGGCCTACTCTATCTCACCCCCAGGCCTTTATAAAAGCTGTTTCTTCACCTTAAACATCCTGCTTTTTGTTTTTCGCCTCATTCTCTCCTACTGTGACGTCTCAGCTAAAAATTCACTTCTTTGGGAAGGTCTTCTCTGTCTCCTAGATTAGGACAGCTATTAGGTTTCCTTGCTGTGCTCCCACAGTACCCTGTGTTTCCTTAATTACAATAGCCTTTATTATAATTGATTGCATCATTGTATGCTTTCTGAACTCTCAAGCTCCAGGGGGGCAGGCAGTGTTTGCCTTGTTCATTCCTATCTCTTCAGCAAAAGCAAGCTCTCTGTAAGTATTTCTCGAATGAATGAAAGAATAAATAGGTATTCAAACTATTCCATTAAATATGTTCCTTTAAGTGTATGTCAACCCTATCATTTAAAAAAATGTTTTTTTGATTATAAAAATTTATGTATTTGTATCTGTATGTGTCTCCTTGCAAAGAGAACGAAAGAACACTGAAGCAGAGGCACAGAATATACGACTCCCATAGTCACGACTTACTTGTAGAAAAGCATGTCTACATTATACACATTCTTAATTTAATCCTTTAGCTTCTTTTGAAAACTGGCACAGAAAAATTGTCAAAAACATTATACTTTATAACCTGAGAGCTGTTTTTACAACAATATCTTTCCTATAGAGAAGGTATTTTGGATAAAAAGAGAATGATTATAGAGCAAATTAGAGATTTGGGAGAGCATTTTCTGTAGCTGTTGATTTGTTTTACGATTGTCTATGAGATTTAAATTAGGTTCTTTGCGCTTTCCTTTAGAAGAATGTAGACATTTACAACTTTTAAAGATTGAACAATATTTTTAGTCTTGGTTTTATTTTAACATTGCAGTTTGATCTAGTTCGTGGTATTTGGAAAAAATATCAGGTTTACAATGGTGACAAATATGGTGGGAACGCACTAAAGTGATTTCAAAAGATGACTTAAGAGCTATGAAATAATCAGCCTAAACCTGTGTTAAATTAAGAAAATTATATTCTCTTTCACTGTTTTAAAAAGCAAAAGAGCTCCACCTGGTGTTGAGCAAAACTATTGAATGATTTTTATTTGATGATTTAGAATTGTTCATTTCATAAAAGGTGTAATTCAGAATGCTTTTCTCAGTATTCTGTTTATAGTAATGCTGTTGATATTGTGCCCAAATTATGTGCAATTGGTTCTTTTATGAAATAATTAATGCATTTCTGATAAAAACAGGCCTCTTTAACGTTTTAAAGGGTTTTGGAAAAGTTTTTCCCCTACACCTTCCCTTCATACTATGCAGTGGAGCAGTAAGAACACTCTTCAGAGACCGAGGGCCACAGCTGCTGTGATTTGAAATCCATCCACCCCTTAATTTGGCCCAGGCTGTACCTCCTATTGGCGGCTCCCACCAGGGACTGAGTGCAGTGATGTACTGAGGCCGACCCTGCCCTGGAAGACAGGTGGGACTCCTTTGTTGGCCCAGTTTGGCTCCAGGCCTTCCCCCACTGTTTTGCCAAACCTTCCTTAGACTGCACAGCAGTCTCAGATGCGTCCATTCATTTCGTCTCTCAATCTCTTATTCTTGCAGATTAGACTTGTATGCAGTCTGACAGCTCTCCCAGCCTTTCCCATCACCCTCCCCCCACCCATTTCTTTTTACACAGGCATTTTCTTCTAATAGAATCCTTGCATTTTTAATCCTGTCTTGGTAGAGATCCTGCTCTTTAGAAATCTCAGACTAACAACAGTAACCGTTCCGGAAGTTTTATGGAAAATGTGAAAGTGGAGACATCCGTCTTATTTTCTAATATTTGGGTTAACTAATATCTGGTTCGTACGCATTAAATTAGATTTTGACATCTTAAACTCAGGTCTGGGTCTCTCCTAGCTTGGCTAATTAGTGCATGTGTGGAAGAGTACATGTGTCCTGTGAGGCCACTGGGCTCTGATGCTCCATGGCCAGAGGTTGGACTCCTAACTTAGCTAACCATCTTATTGTTTGTACCAGTCAAAAGAGCATTTGGCAAGAGTGATGATGAATCAAGGCAAATCCAATGCCTCTTCAAGAAAAATACCTCTGTGGATTTTTTTTTTTTTTAATGTATGGAGGGAGGGACTTTAGTGTCATATTTGTACAAACACAATAAATTATATTCAGTATTACATTTAAATATTAAGTGTTGCTGATGAGTCAAATGCAGGTTCAGATTTGTTTGGCTTTATCATTGAAATGGGACGTACATTGGAATATTCTAGAAAATAATCAATGTCGTGGAGTAAAAGACACTTTGCAGTTCCTGATAGAAGGACCTGGAGCTCCAGTAACTTACAAGTCCTGGAAACTGCCCAGGGGTCTTGCGCCATGGCTATGTTCTTAGTTTACTTCTGCCTCACTGATACTTACACTGAAAGGGAATACAACTCTAGGAAAATAAAACTTCACACTACTTTGTAGTGTGGTATATTGGAAAGAACCATAACCTGGAAGATAAACTACCTGCATTTGAGTTGGCTTCACTACGTAATAAACCGCAAGGCCTTGGGTAACCCACTTACACTCTTTTAGCCTCAGTTCCCCTATATGTAAGATGCGGATACAAATCTTTGACTCTTTCACACAATCATTAGGGTTAAAGGAAATAATCCACATAAAAACATTTCTGTTAACTAAAGTACATAGCATATTCAGGTTACATTGTCATTGTTTAATTGTATTTCTAATGCAATTATCTGCTAAAGAAGCAAGTAGGTGTTCTGACCTTTTACAGGAGTTATGGATTTCATAGTCCATGCTAAGACATTTCTTAAATAAAGATGTTCTGAAACAACTATTTCCATAAACAAAATTGGCCTTATTTTACTTTGTATCTTTCATATAAAATATATGAATTGTTTAATAATAAAGAGAAAGATTTTATCATTTAACTATGCTTTGAAAGATTAAAAATGGAAACAAAAATGAGTATAAATTTAAATTGAATGAAAGATTTGGATGAGATAGAAATGCAATTTTCTCCCTTCAATTTTGGATGGTCGTGGCGGATGGGAAACCTACTTATACCTACCTGACAATTAGAGCAAAGAATGAATTTTTATTTATCTGTAACCATAAGAAGTAAAAAATATTTTTGCTCTAATACTTTTAAAAATTGTGCTCTTTTGGAGGTTTTTATGAAAGTACATTAATAATATAACTTATCTCCACAAATTCTGCTTTAAAACGGTAGCTAACAATGTTATTCTAAGATAACAAAATATTGTCCATAAATTATTCATTTATAATTAAAAGACAACATAATCATATCATTTAACTTTATTCTTCATTTTTTTTCCTTTTATTCTCCATATTTTATGCAACTGCAAAATGTAATCAGTGTAATGTCATTGTTATAAAGTAGTTCAGTTAGGCATTCTTATTTTGGTTAGCTTAAGCAAAAAGGGAAAATAATAAGACAACTGGTATATCACACAGATTCCAAGGAAAAATTGAATGTCTGTGCCTTGGGATGTGCAGGAACAGGCAGCTCTGGGGCCCTAGGGAGCAACTTTTCATCTTCTCCACTCTGTCCAAGATTTATATTCCTCAAAGTCTGGCCAAGGTTGCATTCCATGCCCACCCTGTGGTCTTGAGAAGGTAAAGTGCCCTCCATTCAATACCAATTCCATGCACTAGAAGAGGGAAGGTGCCCTAAAAGAAAGTGAAAGGATACTGGGCAAGAAAAGATAACAAAATCTGCTACTTGATGTATTCAACTCAAATATTTTCTAATGCTTTTTTGTGTGTGTGATAGTTACAATCATTTTCCATAGTTACTGAGATGATCTGTTAAGTTGTGACAAGCTCAGATATTCAGGAACATGCTTTTTAGTGCCCTTGCTTCTCTCTAAGGAAAGACCGGTAGATAGACCAGGCACTCGTTCTTGACCACTGAGGCACTGACATTTTTTATTCTTGGTGTGATTGCCATTGTGTAAAGTTAAGGCAAGGCATACTGGTACATCACAGTTTGGACACGTCCAAATAAATTGTGTTCCTTTATTGCTTTCTATTTTCATCATGGCTAATAGCAACAGAGGCAGAAGATGCCCATGGAAATAGTGCTTTTTTTTTTTTTTTACATCTTTATTGGAGTATAATTGCTTTACAATGGTGTGTTAGTTTCTGCTTTATAACAAAATGAATCAGTTATACATATACATATGTTCCAATATCTCTTCCCTCTTGCGTCTCCCTCCCTCCCACCCTCCCTATCCCACCCCTCCAGGCGGTCACAAAGCACCGAGCAGATCTCCCTGTGCTATGGGGCTGCTTCCCACTAGCTATCTACCTTACGTTTGGTAGTGTATATATGTCCATGCCTCTCTCTCGCTTTGTCACAGCTTACCCTTCCCACTCCCCATATCCTCAAGTCCATTCTCTAGTAGGTCTGTGTCTTTATTCCTGTCTTACCCCTAGGTTCTTCATGACATTTTTTCCCCTTAAATTCCATATATATGTGTTAGCATACGGTATTTGTCTTTCTCTTTCTGACTTACTTCACTCTGTATGACAGACTCTAGGTCTATCCACCTCATTACAAATAGCTCAATTTCGTTTCTTTTTATGGCTGAGTAAAATTCTATTGTATATATGTGCCACATCTTCTTTATCCATTCATCCGATGATGGACACTTAGGTTGTTTCCATCTCCGGGCTATTGTAAATAGAGCTGCAATGAACATTTTGGTACATGACTCTTTTTGAATTATGGTTTTCTCAGGGTATATGCCCAGTAGTGAGATTGCTGGGTCATATGGTAGTTCTATTTGTAGTTTTTTAAGGAACCTCCATACTGTTCTCCATAGTGGCTGTACCAATTCACATTCCCACCAGCAGTGCAAGAATGTTCCCTTTTCTTCACACCCTCTCCAGCATTTATTGTTTCTAGATTTTTTGAAGATGGCCATTCTGACTGGTGTGAGATGATATCTCATTGTAGTTTTGATTTGCATTTCTCTAATGATTAATGAAGTGGAGCATTCTTTCATGTGTTTGTTGGCAGTCTGTATATCTTCTTTGGAGAAATGTCTATTTAGGTCTTCTGCCCATTTTTGGATTGGGTTGTTTGTTTTCTTGTTATTTAGCTGCATGAGCTGCTTATAAATTTTGGAGATTAATCCTTTGTCAGTTGTTTCATTTGCAAATATTTTCTCCCATTCTGAGGGTGGTCTTTTCGTCTTGTTTATGGTTTCCTTTGCTGTGCAAAAGCTTTTAAGTTTCAAAAGGTCCCATTTGTTTACTTTTGTTTTTATTTCCATTTCTCTAGGAAGTGGGTCAAAAAGGATCTTGCTGTGATTTATGTCATAGAGTGTTCTGCCTATGTTTTCCTCTAAGAGTTTGATAGTTTCTGGCCTTACATTTAGGTCTTTAATCCATTTTGAAATTATTTTTGTGTATGGTGTTAGGGAGTGATCTAATCTCATACTTTTATACGTACCTGTCCAGTTTCCCCAGCACCACTTATTGAAGAGGCTGTTCTTTCTCTGTACATTCTGGCCTCCTTTATCAAAGATAAGTTGACCATATGTGTGTAGGTTTATCTCTGGGCTTTCTATCCTGTTCCATTGATCTCTTTCTGTTTTTGTGCCAGTATCATACTGTCTTGATTACTGTAGCTTTGTAGTATAGTCTGAAGTCAGGGAGCCTGATTCCTCCAGCTTGGTTTTTCGTTCTCAAGGTTGCTTTGGCTATTCGGGGTCTTTTGTGTTTCCATACAAATTTTGAAATATTTTGTTCTAGTTCCGTGAAAAATGCCAGTGGTAGTTTGATAGGGATTGCATTGAATCTGTAGATTGCTTTGGGTAGTAGACTCATTTTCACAGTGTTGATTCTTCCAATCCAAGAACATGGTATATCTCTCCATCTATTTCTATCATCTTTAGTTTCTTTCATTAGTGTCTTATAATTTTCTGCATACAGGTCTTTCGTCTCCTTAGGTAGGTTTATTCCTAGATATTTTATTCTTCTTGTTGCAGTGGTAAATGGGAGTGTTTTCTTGATGTCACTTTCAGATTTTTCATCATTAGTGTATAGGAATGCCAGAGATTTCTGTGCATTAATTTTGTATCCTGCTACTTTACCAAATTCATTGATTAGCTCTAGTAGTTTTCTGGTAGCATCTTTAGGATTCTCTATGTATAGTATCATGTCATCTGCAAACAGTGACAGCTTTACTTCTTCTTTTCCGATTTGGATTCCTTTTATTTCCTTTTCTTCTCTGATTGCTGTGGCTAAAACTTCCAAACCTATGTTGAATAAGAGTGATTAATATGTGTCTTGGCGTATTTCTCCTTGGATTTATCCTGTATGGGACTCTCTGTGCTTCCTCGACTTGATTAACTATTTCCTTTCCCATATTAGGGGAGTTTTCAACTATAATCTCTTCAAATATTTTCTCAGTCCCTTTCTTTTTCTCTTCTTCTTCTGGAACCCCTATAATTAGAATGCTGGTGCGTTTAATGTTGTCCCAGAGGTCTCTGAGACTGTCATCAGGTCTTTTCATTCTTTTTTCTTTATTCTGCTCTGCAGTAGTTATTGCCACTCTTTTATCTTCCAGGTCACTTATCCGTTCTTCTGCCTCAGTTATTCTGCTATTGATGCCATCTAGAGTATTTTTAATTTCACTTATTGTGTTGTTCATCATTGCTTGTTTCATCTTTAGTTCTTCTAGGTCCTTGTTAAATGTTTCTTGCATTTTGTCTAGTCCATTTCCAAGATTTTGGATCATCTTTACTATCATTATTCTGTATTCTTTTTCAGGTAGACTGCCTATTTCCTCTTCATTTGTTAGGTCTGGTGTGTTTTTATCTTGCTCCTTCAACTGCTGTGTGTTTTTCTGTCTTCTCATTTTGCTTATCTTACTGTGTTTGGGGTTTCCTTTTTGCAGGCTGCAGGTTCGTAGTTCCTGTTGTTTTTGGTGTCTGTCCTCAGTGGCTACGGTTGGTTCAGCGGGTTGTGTAGGCTTCCTGGTGGAGGGGAATAGTGCCTGTGCTCTGGTGGATGAGGCTGGATCTTGTCTTTCTGGTGGGCAAGTCCACGTCTGTTGGTGTGTTTTGGGGTGTCTGTGGACTTATTATGATTTTAGGCAGCCTCTCTGCTAATGGGCGGGGTTGTGTTCCTGTCTTGCTAGTTGTTTGGCATAGGGTGTCCAGCACTGTAGCTTGCTCATTGTTCAGTGAAGCTGGCTGCTGGTGTTGAGATGGAGATCTCTGGGAGATTTTCACCGTTTGATATTATGTGGAGCTGGGCAGTCTCTTGTGGACCAGTGTCCTGAAGTTGGCTCTCCCACCTCAGAGGCACAGCACTGACGCCTGGCTGCAGCACCAAGAGCCTTTCATCCACACGGCTCAGAATAAAAGGGAGAAGAAGTAGAAAGAAAGAATTAGTAGAAGAAGAAAGAAAGAAAGAAGGAAAGAAAGGAGGGAGGTAGGGAGGGAGGAAGGAAGGAGGGATGGAAGGAAAAAAGAAAGAAAGAAGATAAAGTAAAATAAAATAAAGTAAGATAAAATAAAATAAAGTTATTAAAATAAAAAATAATTATTAAGAAAAAAAAAAAAAGACAGAACCCTAGGACAAATGGTGGAAGCAAAGCTATAGACAAAATCTCACACAGAAGCATACACATACACACTCACAAAAAGAGGAAAAGGGGGAAAAAAAATCATAAATCTTGCTCTCAAAGTCCACCTCCTCAATTTGGGATGATTCGTTGTCTATTCATGTATTCCACAGATGCAGGGTACATCAAGTTGGTTGTGGAGCTTTAATCCGCTTTTTCTGAGGCTGCTGAGAGAGATTTCCCTTTCTCTTCTTTGTTCTCACAGCTCCCGGGGCTCAGCTTTGAATTTGGCCCCGCCTCTGCGTGTAGGTCGCTGGAGGGCGTCTGTTCTTCGCTCAGAGAGGATGGGGTTAAAGGAGCAGCTGCTTCGGGGACTCTGGCTCACTCAGGCCGGGGGGAGGGAGGGGCATGGAGTGCGGGGCAAACCTGCGGTGGCAGAGGCCGGTGTGACGTTGCACCTGCCTGAGGTGCGCCGTTCGTTCTCCCGGGGAAGTTGTCACTGGATCCCAGGATCCTGGCAGTGGTGGGCTGCACAGGCTTCCCGGAAGGGGGGTGTGGATAGTGACCAGTGCTCTCACACAGGCTTCTTGGTGGCGGCAGCAACAGCCTTAGCGTCTTATGCTCGTCTCTGGGGTCCGTGCTTTTAGCCGCGGCTCGCGCCCGTCTCTGGAGCTCCTTTAAGCAGCGCTCTTAATCCCCCCTCCTCGCGCAGTAGGAAACGAAGAGGGAAGAAAAAGTCTCTTGCCTCTTCAGCAGCTCCAGACTTTTCCCCGGACTCCCTCCCGGCCAGCCGTGGCGCACTAACCCCCTGCAGGCTGTGTTCATGCCGCCAACCCCTGTCCTCTTCCTGCGCTCCAACCGAAGCCCGAGCCTCAGCTCCCAGCCCCGCCCGCCCCGGCGGGTGAGCAGACAAGCCTCTCGGGCTGGTGAGTGCCGGTCGGCACCGATCCTCTGTGCAGGAATCTCCCCGCTTTGCCCTCCGCCCCCCTGTTGCTGTGCTCTCCTCCGCGGCTCCGAAGCTTTCCCCCTCCGCCACCCGCAGTCTCCGCCCACGAAGGGGCTTCCTAGTATATGGAAACCTTTCCTCCTTCACAGCTCCCTCCCACTGGTGCAGGTCCCGTACCTATCATTTTGTCTCTGTTTATTCTTTTTTCTTTTGCCCTACCCCTACGTGAGGGGTTTCTTGCCTTTTGGGAGGTCTGAGGTCTTCTGCCTGCGTTCAGTAGGTGTTCTGTAGGAGTTGTTCCACGTGTAGTTGTATTTCTGGTGTATCTGTGGGGAGGAAGGTGATCTCCGCATCTTACTCTTCCGCCATCTTCCCGGAACTAGTTCGGAAATAGTGTTTTGTCTTCTAGAGGTAGAAGCTCTGTATATGCATACCAGTGGACAGGGAAAAAGTGTGGCTTTGGTGACTATTACTTGTATATTGATGCTTTAAGAAGGCCTCCTGTAACTACTTTAGTTTGCAGTTTGCTAGAAAGGTAGTACTAGAAAGACAGTATGTGTTTTTCAGGGGTGTCAGCTGCCCCAGATCTGAAAAACTAACAGCTCTGATTTCTATCACCTTTGTGTATACATTATAATAATATCTATTATTTAGGTAGGACAACATTTAATGAAATGCCTTGCTATTCCGTTTTTTGGTAACATTTAAAACATACACATTCAGAGTCTATTGTTTATGAGTTTAATTTTTTAAATAGCTATGAAAATATCATATACATATTCACATTTGCTATTATTAAACTGATATTCTAGCAAGAAACACTAGAGGGCATTCATTGCTCTGTTCAAAGACATTTGTACACTTTGTTTTTATACTTTCCAATGCAATTTGTTCATATGCTTGAGAAATAAAATATGAAAATTCTCATTTTCTAAATTATGTCAGTGTATCACTGAATACTAAAACAAACAAACAAAAGTAAAAACAAAAATGGATGAGTGGGCCACAGGGTGCAAGAATATCCAATATACACTGAGGTTATAATAGAAACAAATCTTTAATTTTAATGTGACAGTTTCTCTTAAAATATAACAATTTAACATATTGTATTAACAAGTAATACAAAATATCGTTTTTAGAATTTCTAGCATAGAAAAACAAATTTGACATAACTTTAGACTTACCTTTATTTAAATGCTCTTGGAATTTAAAAATACAAAAATGAATTATGAAGTAGAAGTAACATAAATGAGTTAAATGAATCTAAATATTACACAGTTGTCACTTTATTATAAAATATCACTGAAATTGTCCCACTTTTATTTCCATTTCAGTTGTTCTTATTATAGTTACCAATTCTCTTGCGCCCTATACAATTTAACTTATTCATTTACAACTTCACCTCTGTTTTTGGACACATTCTCTATGCATAAGTATTGTGTTGGGTATTGCAATTCTCAAAATATTGTGTGTAGGCCACAGCAAAATGTGCTCAAATAATTTGAGACTCAGTACAAGTCCTCATGAACTTTTACTATGGAGATGGCTGAAAGAAACAGCAATTTCTTTTAGCCTCAATTTCCTTTGGATACATTTATTTTAGTCTGGACATAAGGCTAAATATTTGCTTGATTTAAGACCGTAATATGTAAAATCATACAAACAATTTCATAGATAGGTAACTTTATAAAAATGCATGGCTTAACAAAATCCAAGAAAACAAATATTTTCTTAGCATTTTTACCCCTAATTTTTGTATTTACAAGTGAAGAAAAAATTTTAATCCAAGTATCATAAACATGAATCTTAACATATCCCGCCCCTGCCTTTAGGAACTCACTTTTTCAGATCAAGGAAGACTCTAATGAAAGTCAAACAAATTGAAATAATACATATGAAATAATACACTTTAAAAAGTATAAAGTGCAAGAAGGTGTCCTTTATAAGCTCAGTGTTTTCATCTGTAAAAATGGAGATGGCTCATTTAGTGTCTCCCCTCCTTTTTTGCTTCAGTGCTTCCCTGAGAAATGACGATCTAGTTGATGGATAGTGTCTGGGCACATCAGAAGGTGGGAGAGCATCTGAGCAGCTGAGGAACAAGAAAGGTAAGAGCAAGGGGAAATTATGTCAAATAAGGGAAAATTACAAAACTGTAAGAATGATGTTTTCAACTGTATTGTAATGTAATACTACCAACCTAAAAGATGAGAAAAAAATTACAAAGGAAAGCATTTGCATCTATTTTAAGTCACTAACCTTATAATATCTTGGTTCTCAACTTTCTGTATATGGGTTATATGTTTTATGGATTACTCAGACATGTTCTGGAACTTCCAGTGGCTTCTTCAAATCAGCACTGTTTTCAGTCTCTCTTACGTTATAAATTAGTGTGGGAATAGGAGATACAATAATAGATTAGGTTAAACAGTATTAGAAAAGTATACCAGTTAGCATTCCAAAGTAAGAAATATATGACTTTTGGATTATTCATTGTTATTTTTTCTTTCTGTCTTTAGTTACCTCCTTTAGTGTAGATAATTTGGAAGTTTAATAAATTTGCCCTCCTTTGAGTGTGTAATTAGCTCTGAGACAGCAAAGCGCTGTTTTTGTAAGCAATGGCACTGTTTTAGAGTCAGTGTTTTGTTTTTGTTTTGTTTTTTCAAATATTTTAGATGTTTTTGGTGTGTGTGGGGGGAGGTATATTCTGGGAGGTAGCGGGTGGTGACATCAGAATGCAAACAAACATATTTAGTTTTTAAAAAGTATTTAATTGTATAATTATTTTGGTGTATTCTTAATACTTATTTACACTGAACTTTCAAATAACATTTAAATTTAAATGGTTTTAAATTTAAAGGGCCTGAGATTTTTAGGTTTATTAGAAAGGGGCAACAGGTTTAAAAGAAGTTTGAGAAACAAACTGTGAACAGTGTTTCTTCGTACAAAATGATCTTTTGTTTTGCAGCATACAGAATACAATTTGATCTTTCAAACGTTTATTTATCCACATTTTGCGGGGAATTATATCTACTTTGGGAATGAGGCATCTCTGGAACAATTTTAAAATTTTAATCTTGATAATATACTGGGCAACTCCGAGTTCTGATAACTACCAGAGAAAATGAGGCATTTAGGGTAACACTATGAGGCCAGCAGGGCAGCTTCTCCCACAGAATCCATTAAGAGCATTTGGGACCTTGAAAAAGTTCAAGAAACTTGAATCTAACCTACCAGCAATCCTGTGGTCCATGTCTAATTGCTTCCGTTGATATTTGACAGCCCCCATATTTTGACTTCTTCTTAAGCTACTGACATTATCTTGAACCTGTCTCACCCAAAATCTTTAGTGACCCACAAGCCTGTTTCAAATTGAGTACATACATATTCTTCAGCCTGGTATTTAGGGCCCTCCATAATTTACTTTCCCAATATAACCTCTCATGAGTTCTTATGCAGTTTTCTATACTTCAGTCAAACCTATCAATTTGCTTTTTTCTAAAATTATGCCACATTTTCTCACCTTTGCACATTTGCTCTTGCTGTTCCCTTTACTAGGAATACTCTTTTTCCATTTCCATCTGCCAAAATTCTATCTGTCTTCATGAAGCATCCAAGTACCAAATTCTTGATTAAGCCCTCCCTGTTCTTGTTTGGATGTGACCCCTCCTTTTTCTGAATTACGCCTTTAGCTTATGGCTTTGCCAGGTCTTATGACCTGCCTTATATTATAGTTATTATATATTTGTTTTATATTCTGTGTTTGAGGACAGGAGTATCTTATCCATAGTTTTATCTTTTCATACAGTGTCCAAAACAGGCCTTGACTCATAGCAGGTTCTTAACAAATATTTGTTGAATTGGGGTAACTCCCAGGTCTATCCTTGAACTTTCTACTGGCTCATTTCCCATTTAGTAGAGCTTCAGAATAATGAAATTATGTGAAATTACACATGAATTACCTGAAAAGTAGGCATATTTTTAAAAATATGTATTTTAATTAATTAACTCTTCAAAAATTACTCCTATAGTAATGGAAACAAAAGTAAAAATAAACAAATGGGACCTAATTAAACTTAAAAGCTTTTGTATAGCAAAGGAAACCATAAACAAAATGAAAAGACAACCTACGGACTGGGAGAAAATATTTGCAAATGATGCAACTGACAAGGGCTTAATTTTCAAATATATACAAACAGCTTATACAGCTCAATATAAAAAAAACCAAACAACCCAATCCAAAAATGGGCAGAAGACCTAAATAGACATTTCAACAAAGAAGACATACAGATGGCCAAGAGGCACATGAAAAGTTGCTCAATATCACTAATTATTAGAGAAATGCAAATCAAAACTACAATGAGGTAACAACACTCACCAGTCAGAATAGTCATCCTCAAAAACTCTGCAAATAATAAATGCTGGAGAGGGTGTGGAGTAAAGTGAACCCTTGTACACTGTTGGTGGGAATGTAAATTGGGGCAGCCTCTGTGGATAACAGTATGGATATTCCTTAAAAAAAACTAAAAATAGAGTTGCCATATGATCCAGCAATCCCAATCCTAGGCATATATACAGACAAACTATAATTCAAAAAGTTACATGCACCCCAGTGTTCATTGCAGCACTATTTACAATAGCTAAGACATGGAAGCACCCTAAATGTCCACTGACAGATGAATGGGTAAAGAAGATGTGGTACATATATACAATGGAAAATTACTCAGCCATGAAAAAGAAGAAAATAATGCCACTTGCAACAACATGGATGGACCTAGAGATTATCATACTAAGTGAAGTAAGTCAGACAGAAAGACAAATATATGATATTACTTACATGTGGAATCTAAATAAGTGATATAACTGAACTTATTTACAAAACAGTAATAGACTCACAGACATAGAAATCAAATTTATGATTACCAAAGGGGAAAGGTGGGGGGAGGGATAAATTGAGAATTTGGGATTAATGGATACACACTATTATATATAAAATAAATAAATGACAAGGAGCTACTGTATAGCACAGGGAACTATATTCAATATCTTGTAACAACTATAATGGAAAAGAATCTGAAAAAGAAAATAATATATATCTGGATCACTTTGCTGTATACCTGAAACATTGTAAATCAACTATACTTCAATTTAAAAAATGTATTTTAATTAATTTTAAAAAACAGACTTTTTAGGCAGTGCTTTTACTTTCATTCATAGCACAATCAGAAATAAAATGTTTTGGCATTACTTTCTTATTAATATGGGGTGATTTTAAAGACTGTTTTTCAACACATTATATCAATAGTTCAGGAAACCATATTATAAAATGAATTATTACAAACTAGATTGTATTCTGCATGGGAGCAATATAATTCTCAGACTCCATATGTGCCTGATCAAGGACTTTGGTATACTTTTACCAAAGCAAGTTAAAAAGATATGTTAAAAAAAAAGCAAGCCCATAAATTCAATATTTCTCAAGAGTCATTTTTCAGACTCTAAATATACTATTGGTTATATAGCATTTTGAGGTTGGGAAGAATCACACAGAATCATCTACTCCAAACTTTCTCAGTTTATTAGATGAAGAGCTGAGATTCAGAAAGGGTAAATGACTATGATTAAACAGTGGAGTTCTACAGTAAACTAGGCATTAAAATTATTCTACTGAACATTCTTAAAACACAAGCCAAGTATAGAGAACGGAAATAACACTAGGCTAGTCTTCCCTGAATATAGACCTTCTGCCCTCCCCTTCTTTCTGAAGACTTTGTATATAAACAGGGAGGGTTGATAGTATTTATGTGTTTCTTTTTGTTGTAATAAGATGTCTTTGAACTCTCAGTGACAAACACAGTGTAAGTTTATTTTCACTTGTGTTTGGGGCAGATCAGGCACCTCTTCTCAGAGGGGCCTCAATTATCTGAGCTATTTTTGTGTGATTCTGCCATTTTGGAGTCCTATGTCTAGGCTGGTACATGGGGAAACAGAGGAAGACAGAGAGGGAGAGAGATTGAGAGAGAGAAGAAAAGGTGTGAGAACTTTGTTAAGGACCAGATTTAGAAGTGGTGTACATCACTTCTACTCACATTCCTTAGGCCAGAACTAGTCATATGGGCCCACCCAGATGCCAGAGCACTGGGAAATGTAACCTTCCTGTGTGTCCAGGAGGAAAATGCAAATAGTTTGGTGTACACATAGTATTGTCTTTGCCACAGTGTATGAACACAAAGAAATACAGGCTTAAAAAGGAAGTTGCAGAGGGTTGTTTTGTTTTGTTTTGTTTTTCATTTTTCTCTTCCTTTCTGCTTCCTTGAGTGTTAACCTATAGATTCCTGGTACAGAAAACCATGAAATAGAGAGTAAAGACGCAGAGAAATGAAGAGCAGTTCATTATTAAGCAGGCTGAAGAAGCAGAGCAGAATATTGAAAAACAGGATTTGGGAAATTTCCTAGTGGTCCAGTTGTTAGGACTCTGCCGTCTCACTGTCGAGGGCCCAGGTTCAATCCCTGGTCGGGGAACTAAGATCTCACAAGCCGTGTGGTGCAGCCAAAAAAAAAAAGGGAAAAAATAGAAAAGAAAAACAAGGGTTAAAAGGTTTGCATTTATTCCTTGGGGCAACCCATAAATTAAACTTAAATCATGAATAATAAAGGATCTATTGAAATATGTGGCCATAAACACAATCTGAGGGGGACTCCTCTGGTGGCACAGTGGATAAGACTCCACACTCCCAATGCAGGGGTTCCGTGTTCGATCCTTGGTCAGGGAACTAGATCCCACACACATGCTACAACTAAAAGTTCACATGCCACAACTAAGGAGCCTGCCTGCTGCAACTAAGGAGACTGCAAGCCACAACTAAGGAACCCTGGAGCCACAACTAAGGATTCCACCTGTCACAACTAAGACCTGGCACAACCAAAATAAATAAATAAATAAATATTAAAAAAGAAAGAACAATCTGAGCTTAGGCAAGTTTCTTTAATAAATAAACTCCATAAAACAAGGCTTAGAGCTGGCATTGTGCAGGCAACTTGCTGGGGTAGTACCGGGGGTTGAGGGGGATGGGAGGCAGCCCTGGTGTGGAGTTTGACAATTCCCCAT